AGGGAGTCGGCATCGGATCATGAAAGAATACGCCGGTTCCAGTCCCTGAGCCTTTCTTTCATCCCGGATATCTCTGTCATCTTGCATATAAGTACCATGGAACTTGGTCAATTGTTGGTCAGAAGCAGAGATGGCACCAGTAGATGTGTCCTTAAGGCCTTCCAAAATTGTGCCTCGCAAATAGTTTGACGCGATCTTGATGTCCTCATTCGTAATAGGCGGCGGCTCTTCTGGAAGTCCCTCCACGTTGTCTACTCCTAATGCTTGCCAAAGTTTGGGTTCCCATTCTTGGTACCCAGTTTGAAAACCATCAGGGTCTTGGTCATCACCTAGGCCAACACCAACGAAGCGCTTGCCTCCAAGATTACTCAGAACGCGATCGAGATCCTTCGCAGGCTTGTTGTAGTAAATTTTGTCTTCTTTTCGAGGCCAGTAGTGACTGTCACCAAGACCAAACACAGAAAAATTCACAGTGGCAAGATCCAAATCGGTGTTGTCTTTGATGCCGTCCCAGAATGGTAAGCCATTTTGAGGGAACTCTCCTTGACCAGCAGTGGATGTGATAAAAACAATGTTCTCCTCCCGTGAAAGGTCTTCAAGAGGATAATCCTCCATAGCCAGCACCGCCGTCTTCAACCCGCGAGCCCTTCCTCGATTCCCGAGGCGCTTGGCCACAGAGGCGGCATTCCCGTTGTCAGAAGCGAAGAGAATAGTAAGCGGTGCGCCAAGAAGGCCTTCCAGTAATTGATTGTATGCGTCCTTAGCTTTTCTCTTTTGCTGGGCCCGTACCTCAGTTCCAAAATCCTGTGCCAAACTCGCAGCAAATTTGGGTTCTTTCTTCATAAGCTGGGTGAGTTGATTATCCCTAGCCAAGAACGTTTTCAATTCCTGCTTCACCACCTCCGAGTCCAAGGAGAAATTTGGCTCGCTGTTGAGTTCGTTTTCTGGGTTCCATCGATACAAAGGCCAATAACCAACATCTACAGCTTTCTTCGTTTCTTGAAGCACAGTTAGTGGGGAATCAGATTCGCCAAAATAGGGGAGATAGGCTAGGACAACTGAAGGACCATTGAACTTGTCGGCCTCGAGCAATGCCTGTAGCACCTGGGTGTATGAGCTATACACAGCGGTTGATGCCACATAAACATTACCAAAGTTCATAGCATATAGGCCGATATCCTTCTTTCTTCGATTAGAGTCAACAGCGGACTTTTCCGAGTACGGAGTAGAGTCGATAATGAGGATATTGATATTTTCGCCAGATGCAAGGACATGGTGAACTCCAGAGTTTCCGAGGTCATATGCCCATGCATCTGAGCCCATCAGCCATAGAGATTCCTTGCGGAAGAGACCCCTTCTGGTGAGAAGCTTCTGGGCGAGAGCTGAGCCGTCAGCTTCTAATCTTGCTACAACTTCTTCACCAATATCCACAGCCTTGGCCCCATCATTTGCATGCATAGCCCATCGAGCCAGCCAACTCTTTGGTTCATCTGATTTAAAGGTTCCATGACTTGCTGCATCCTTGACTTCGGAAATAAACTTGCTTCGGTATTCCTTTCGCGCCAAAAGTGACCCAAACCCAAACTCGGGGCTGGCTGAGATAGACTCAGAAACACCTGCATTGTTGGATTTCAAGGCATTGGAAATATATGTCCGGCTTCCAAAGACTTGGTCCAGGATCTTGGAATAGGCATTCTCGAGCTGTGGTTTTTCCAAACCATATCCAGCTGGGTGCTCTGATGTCGTCTTGACCCCGACCTCTAGGTTCTGAACAGGCTTTTCCAGGGTGAGATTTTGAACGATACCTCTCAGGGCTTGCGTCGTTGTTTCAGGGGCGATGTATCCTAGTTGGTATCCGACTATAACCTGCACGCCGCCGGGACCACGATTAACCGACGAAAGAACATCAATCAAGACAGGGCCCCATCTCGTAGTTGCTCTGTGAATTTGTTCTAGGACAGCAAGCCTTTTTACAGTGTTGGGAACTGACTCGACAAGCTTCGAGCCAATCCATGGACGATATAATCGTGGGGTCAATATGCCCATGTTGGCAAATATCTCATCAGCCTTAGCATTATCCACAGTTTCTGCAAAGGAACCTGTGTCCGACCCGAATACAAGCAAACAGTTTTCGGCGTTAGGAGGGCCTGTATATTCAAACGCGGCATATCCTCTACCCAGTGCAGCCTTCATCTGGGACCAGATGCGGGCGGCGCAAGTGTAAATGTCTTCTGAGGTAACCTGAGGAGGCACCGCCTCTACCGTGGTTGCAACAGAGGAAGGCGCAATGGGAGTAGACGCTTCGCTGGACTTGATAGAAGTGCCGGCTGAGGTGGCTTTGGAGGCATCAGCGCTGGGAGGCGGCTGGAGGGGAGCATTCCTGGTGCCATTGCCGTTTATGAAGGTTTCTGGGTGATCTGAGGAGACTGCAACATGGCCATCGTCTGCATAGATACCCGCGGCGGAAAATCGGCCGGCTTGAAAGCGGCGGACACTTTCAATGTCAAGAATTTGCCGTAAGACAGCCGTGTCCTCAATTGCTATGGGCTCGTCGGCAGCAGACGTTTCTGGTGCAAAAAAGTGAATGACAGCCTTGCCCGTGCGCACAGCCAACGCATGGGCGGTCATAGCCATATCTTGGGCCTCTTGCAAAGTTTCGGACTGCAAAAACGTCCAGCCTGCGTTTCGAATGGCTGTGATGGAAGAGTAGTCTGCATGTTGCTGCGGCTGTAGCGATACATGGAGGACAACGGGGTAGTTGGCCAGCTTATAGAGGTGGGAGACGGCAGGCAATAAAATGGTTGACGTCGCAGTAACGGATACCAACTTGCCTGCGCGGACCGGCGTATACACAGAGAGCAGCGGATCAACATTGTGACGAATCGATTGCACCTAGGTACGGTTATTAGAGCGCTTGCTATATGCATCAGGGAGCCATAATGGCATGTACATCTCTTCATCTTACATCTGGTACAGCATCTGGGCCAGAGGCGACCAGCCCGCGGTCGTTGCGGCTGGCGTATTGCTTGAGGTGAGATGAGAAGGCCGAGTCGGTAGCCAACGAAGGCTGGACGGACACAATGACATCGCTCGAGAGGTAGGCAACTCTGGCCACTGCGCATGAGAGAAAGTCTGATTAGCGCTGTTTCTCGCTGGTTTATGTCTTAAAAGCAGGCTGGCCAGGCCGCAAATTGGCGGACAAGAGGAGATGGCACGTCAAGCAAAAAAAAAAAAAAAAAGCGGCCATGATGTAAGTCGACAACACATGCATCTTCACAGGGAAGGCAAGGCCGGGCATGTATCTCGGTGTATGGCACTCACCAGCCTCTTCAGGCGTGCGAATTCGGTGAGACGCATCCATCCTGTCTTTTCCAGAGTCTTGAGTCTGCCTGAAGAGAAAAGACATGGTGGACTCGGGTGGCAGAAGAAATAAGAGTTTCGTGGATGGTAATATGGGCGTCGAGAACTGGGCTTCGGAGGCGGCTCCATGCTTCAGAGTCCACACTAAGAGTCAGGCGGGAGCATGGCCAGGCACTGGGGTCTTCCTGGGCACTGCGTGCTCTCGAACCAAAGTGCTCCCTCCGAAGCCCGAACTTGACCAGTTACTGATAGTACTAGTTACATGTGTCTTGTCCTCTAATATCATACAAAACCCATACAAAACCACACAGCACGACTGAGTACCATCAATCTCGACCAAGCATCTCCAGGGCGGGCGAGACCCAGAAAAATTGGCCCCGCGGCCCTGCAGCCCTTCACATGTTCCCACTGCAAGCGGCCGGCCATTGGCTACTTTATTGGATACTGCGTCTCTTCACACATGGCTGGTGTGCCTGACTGGCTGGCTAGCACTCAAACTCGCCTTGTACCCGTCCTGTGGCTCCATTCCCCGCAAAGCAATCATTTTTCCCAGGATTGCGTGATCGTTTAGCGCTGCCATGCATGCGCCGGGGGCGATTGCGAGATCGCACATTACAAATTTCTCGTGTCAGATTTGCGGTGGCCCGACGTCCAGGCAATGGCCCATCGGCGCCGGCCACCTACGACAAATCAAGTAGTAGTATGTACGGAGTATGTAGTGTGTAGTTTTCCAAGGAGCCATTCTCCGTTTGACCTCTTAAACACCAGACCGTACAGGAATGTCGCAATCCGCTGGAGTAGTCTTACTAGGACTAACCGACTTCCGCCCTGCCGACAGGCCGACGACCGACGACCGACGAACGCCATTCACCAACATCATTCGGTTTCCTGAAATCTCAGTTCTCGTGCACATTGCCGAGTGTCATGTTAAGAAAGTACTATTCGTATTCTCGAGTACAGTGGATAGCGACAAAAATAGGAAGCTCCCACCTCCCCATTTTTAGAAGTACTATATGACTGTTGTTGCTGCTCGTTGCTTCTGCAAGGCTGCCATACGATATTATAGTTTTAAGTAGTCACTGCTGCTTTCTCTGTCTTGGACTTGTTTTTCCCACAGTAGTGTGCATTCACGTGCAGCAATTGCCCATGCCTGTGAGTTCCAGTTCCAGTTCCACGATAAGATAAACGCTACCCGCAAGGTTTGTATCACTGGGCCCTGTCAAGAGCGAATGCCTCGCCGGGGGGAGAACGATACATAAATTTTGGAAATTGATCGTGTCACTCCGCGGCGAGCGGTGAGGAGGCGGCCCTAAGGCAAATCCATATTGCCCCGGTCTGCCATGTCAAGTGTTGGGCATGATTATCATGATGGATAAATGATATACATTGTCATTACGGTGCAATACATCAACACTAATCGCAAAGACAATACAGACTACTGTGCATAATATGCCGTAGGAATCTACTAATGCGGGTATTTTCCGCTGCATCATGTACATACTACCTAGGTACCTAGCGCACTCCCACGCCCCGACTCTTCTACCTCTACCCTGATGATTGTGATGCGTGGAGTTCGGATCGCGTCATCGCCCCCTGGCCCTGAATTGATGCAGAGAGCAAATCGTTTCAACCATCATTTCTTACACTTGCCCCGCTAGAGTACCGTTACTAGTATGCGGTTTTCCGTGTACACTCCTCTCCCAGTTCTCAGAACCCGGAATATCCAACCAGTACCGCTTGCCCAAAGACACCATGAGTCTGCCCAGTCGTCCTTTTCGACCGTCACCGTCTGGAAGGTCAGCAGCGAAGGGTCCTTCGTTCTCATCCACACCGGGTCCTTCAAGGATCATCAATTGCATGTATTTTTGCAATACTTGGCGTGCAAATGCCATCACCACAAGGCTGAAGTACACTCGAATGAGGGTAAGTCCCACAATCAATACCATGCTAGTAGCCGTCTCCTGAGGTACAGCCTTGCCGTGAACAGCGCGCTCTCGCCGAAGGCCGTCAAACCCTTGTGCAACAATGCCTGGGAGAGATGTAGATGCCGAATCCGATCCGTTGTTTGTAGTGTTCGCAAAATACCAGTCAAGCCCAAACGCGGCCGTATAAGCTCCGTTTATCGTCGTGTCGAGAATGTATAACCATGCTAATGCCAAGCATTCGAAAGGACTCTGTCGTCGGATATGGGGAATTAGATACACGAGCAGTCCCAGGACACCGATCGAGTACACATACGTCGACAGTTGGAGTAAAGATAGCTGGTAACCCGTCAAAATCGCCAACAGTCCATAAACTCCCGAGACCTTGTTGAAAACCAGCGCCAATGAGATAAGTTCCGTTCCAGTCTGAAGGCTCACTAGGCCAAATAAATTCTACGCGAAACTCATTAGCATTTCCCAGCGTCGAATATCAAGAGCGCTCGCTTGTCTTACCTGTGGTCGCGGAGCCCTTAGATATAGTCTTGTAAACTTCGACATGATTCCCTGGATGCGCTCCAGCAAGCGCTGTGCCAACGAGACACACCGAGATGAATTCGAGCGAACAGCGATGGTTGATTTGAAGCCAACAACGGAAGAGGCGTCATGTAAAATTGATGAGAGGTCGAAATACTACCAGAGGCCGCATGTCCCCACTCTCCGCAGCCCGCTCTGCCAAGTCGTGGTTGGATAGCCAGGTGATGTAATCCGTTTGATATTTAAAGGGGTTGACTCAATGAACACGTGACTCAACACCTAGTGGCAGATAACATGGCTCGCACTCATATTGAGATTATACATGAGCATAAGCAGATCTACAGAATAAAACTAAATATCATAAACACTCACAGGTCCCACATAGATTTACACAGATACAACCTGAACTGCTGTCCATGTTCGCGAAGAAGACATGTTTGAACCATATTCTATTAGTACTACAACAAAGTCACGAGCCTGCTGTTCCAAAGCAGAGTGACCTATTATTATGTCAAGGTAGCGGATCGGAGGCTCGTGGTTTTTGTTGTATTATACAAGCTATATTCACAATCCATGTGCACACTGGGGAGAAATCTTAGTGTGGTTCAGTAGTGATGCTAGCGGGTATACAATCAATAGGGGATAATCCCCGCAACTTCGGGCCCGCGATGGACGGTTAACACGAGCATCCCTCTTGAGTAGGCTGTGATGTATTTGTTTTAACATCAATCACTGTAGATAAGATTACATTAGTAAGCTCGATGCTAAACTCAAGAGCGGGCAACTTGGCGAGCTACACTTACTCTGACTTGATGCTTGAGCTGCAGCATCAGCTCCCTCCATACCGGGCAACGCTTGCGCTATCCGTTTGAATAGGTTTTTGACGTTGTGGCCTAGCTTCGCACTTGTTTCCATAAACATCAGATTGTTCTTTTTAGCTTCATCCTCCCCTTGCTGTGTAGTGACTTCACGCTTCTCGTTCAAATCAGTCTTATTGCCAACCAGCACAATAATGACATCGTTGCCTCGTTCCGCCCGAACATCGTCAATCCATTTTTTCGTGTTTTGAAATGATTTTGCGTCTGATGAGTGTGTATCAGTAAAATGGCGTCACTTTGAGGACTGGAGGCTTCGTACTTGAGATGTCATAGACAACCACGGCCACGCTTGAATCTCGGATGTATGATGGAATCAAACTTCGAAATCTCTCCTGTCCTGCCGTATCCCAGAGTTGTAGCCGCACCGTCCGGTCTTCGAGATACATGGTCTGTCTGTGGTTAGGTTTGGAACATTTTGGCAGGTAGCGGGGCACTGACCTTAGACAGAAAGTCGATGCCGATGGTCGCTTGATACATGTTATCAAACGAATCGTACATAAACCGTGTGATGAGAGAGGTTTTCCCGACTGCATAAGATGGTATTAGTTCCATTGACATTCCCGGGATTGGGTTGTGGGTATCTTGCCACTCTGCTCCCCCAGGAACACCAGCCTGAGCAGGTCAGTATCAGACAAATTACAACACAAGGATATGGCACACATACTTGAATTTCTTCAAGGGATTGTTGTAAGACCCTCCAGCCTGCGCCATATTTAATATCGTTCACGGCTGTCTCAGTACTTCGAAGCGATTAAAATGCGAGAGGTAGGACGGCAGCGATGGAGCAAAGAATGGCGGGATGGTCGAGCGTCAGCCAGATTAGTCGGTAATATCAAGATTAAATTCGATACCTAGCAACGGCATGTGCACCGTTCGAAGTGCAGGTGAGGAGAGCAGATTGCGTAAAACTGCAAAGCCCCAGGCGGATTCGCGAACGGTCACAAAACCTTGCACCAAAGGTTGCGGCGTGGAGCGCTTTCGTAGCTTCAACTTTGGCTTATGGGAGCCGAGAGCCTGGTGTTGCTGCTGTTGTTGTTATTATGTATAGTGGAAGGGGCTCTGCTTGGCCGAAGGCGCACGTGCGGTGAGGAACGTCAGGCCGGGACTGTGGAAAACGGGGGTCAGAGGCGGCTGCCACATGGTCGGTGCAAGAGCCAAACAGCGCAAGTGGCTGGGTGAGATAGTAGGGCCCCATAAAAAAAAATATTGTAGCAGCCAATTCAACCCACCATCTGGAAAAAACTGTCTGGCCCTTTCAGCATCACATTGTAACCAAATTTTGGAATTTTATTGAATCGGATTACTCCACGTAATAAAGAGGCCGTTATTACAGGACATATCGTCATGCCAGTTAAGCCTCAAACCATGGGCTCTGGAGAAGCTCCGAAGCAGTTCAGTCAACCATCGAGAAAGGGCAAGAAGGCATGGCGGAAGAACATTGATGTCACGGAGGTCGAACATGGCCTGGATGAACTGAATGAAGAGATTATTCGCGGGTACTTATCACCAGGACTGATTGCGTGCTTTCTCGTGCTGACTCTTCGCTCACAGTGGCGTTATTCGCGAGAAAAGCTCCTCGGAACTCTTCACGATCGATTTGAAGGGTGACTCTAAAATCTCCAAAAAATTTCCCAAGCACATAAAAAAGGGTCTCAAGGCCGACGAAATCCTCGCTCAGCGGTCAGCCGTACCGGCCGTTTCTTTGCGTAAGCGACCTGGAGAGAAAACAAGTGATAAGATCCTCACTGTCAAGCGACAAAGAACCGATTGGGTTCCTCACAAGGAACTGCAGCATCTAAAACGGATCGCGGATGGCCACCATGGAATCGCTGTTCAGACGTCAGATGCAACATATGACATGTGGGGAGCGACGCCGATCACAATGAATGAAGTCGTTGATGATTTCCTGTCGTCTTCAGAGCCCGTCAAGCAACCCAAGTCTCTGAAACAAAAGCCTATTTCTTTGGCTGCAAGTGGTAAGGCGATCTCAGCCGTGCAAAAACCCACAGGAGGATACAGCTACAATCCTTTGTCCACAGACTATGAAGCCCGACTCTCAGAGGAGAGCGCCAGGGCTTTGGATGCCGAGCAGAAAAGAGTCGAGGCCGAACAGGTAGAAAGACGCAAGCAAGAAGCGGCAGCCCGCTCTGCCGCTGAGGCTGAGGCTGCTGAAGAGCGTGCAAACATGTCCGAATGGGAGGAGGACTCAGAGTGGGAAGGATTCCAGAGTGGTGTTGAGGACGAAAGGCCGAGTACCAAGCGACCGCAACGCAAGACCCAAGCCCAGAGGAATCGCATAAAACGTCGAAAAGAGGAAGAAAGACTCGCCAGGCACAAGGCTGCGATGAAACAAAGGAGGACGCAAGAACAGCGAATCAAAGAGATCGCAGATGAAGTTCGGGACCGAGAGCAGAGCAAAGCTCTCATAACAGTAGAGGATTCCGATACCGACAACGAGGTTGATGATGAAAAACTCAGGAGACGGCAGCTCGGAAAGTACAAGTTAGCAGAGAAGGACCTTGAGCTAGTCTTGCCAGATGAGTTGGAAGAGTCCCTACGACGATTGAAGCCCGAAGGGAATCTCCTCAAAGATCGATATCGAAGCATGCTCGTTCGAGGAAAGATCGAGAGCAGAAGACACATTCCGTTCAAGAAACAAGCTAAGAGAAAAGTCACAGAAAAATGGACCCACAAAGATTTTGTCCTGTGAGCCATCCATACTTGGCCAGAACACTGCGTTGCGCACACAAGACGGGAACTTTTGGTCAGAAATAATGTCACATGTTCCTATGCAATATATGACGGGGAAAATATCATCTATCCTCCAGAAAAAGGACCCTCCACTACTGATATGAACAGGCTCCTCTTGAACATGATCTATGAATATTTAAATATATCAGTAAAGCTAGCAGGCAAGCGGCAACAAGAATATCTATTAGAAACTCATCAGGTCTAGTTACAAGTTAGCATGGGATCAAACATCTTCGCATCACGTTCTTCATCAATTACTTCGCCGTCTTGGGGGTTACTCACCTCGTCCAAATAGTCCACGCTTGGCCCAGTCCATGGCCAGCAAGCAGCGCGTACGGAAGCTCACACTTTGCGCAAAATAGACAGATCGCCATGCATAAACAGCCCAAAGACCCCCTGCCACGTTCCAGCCTTCACCCAGATCAAACACAGCAGAGTTTCCAATATATGCCAAGCTCCCTAAGTGGTGATACTCAAACGCTTTGTAGGCTGCAGCATCAAGGTCTCCATCTCGAATATCATTGGCTGATAACCCTTCCGACAAGTGTGCAAGTTTGTTGAACTTCTGAGCAAGGTAGTAGCCTTGTTGGTGGGCTCTTTGGGCAGTCGCAGGCAGTGAGGTCAACTTGCTATCAATCTGGTTTAGGAGCTCCCTCAGCTCCCCGAAATCCAACGTTCCAGACTGATCTTTATCGAACTCGGCAAAAAGCTTGTCTAGTCGTTTGAGGTGGTTCACGGACTGGGGAAAGCGCTTTTTCACGTCGTGCGCGACCTGACGCCAATCCTTGAAGTGTAGCTGAAGCGTTTCGGGATCTTTGCCGTGCTTCCACGCAAGAGTGCGGAGAAAGGTTATAATGTGATCCGCAATATTGTTCTGAACAGTAGAGCAGTCTCCAATCGCATAGACATCACCTAATGGTGTTCCATTAAGCCTGAGGTGTGTGTCAGTCTCCAGCGCATGACGATTGGTCTGGACATTCCCTAGCTTATGAGCCAATTTCTTGCAAAGTGCGGTTGGGGACACGCCAGTAGACCAAAGCACAAAGCCTGCCGGAAGCTCTTTAGTAACGAGACTGCCATCTTCTTGCTTTTGCGTGAAAACGATCTTGTCTGGGCAAACTTCCTTCACTCGTGAGTTTGTGAGAACGTCGACCTGATCTCGCGCAAATCGATCTTCGGCATATTTAGAGACAGTCTCGTCATAGGTGTTAAGAATATGGCTTCGACTTTGAATGAGATGAACGGAAATTTCATTTCGGAGCAACCGGGGAAAGTGTCTGGTAAGATCTTCATTCAAAAGATCGTACATTTCCGCAGCGAATTCGACGCCCGTAGGTCCACCGCCACTCACAACAAAAGAAAGAAGCCGTTTGCGTTCTTCATCCGACGTCGTCGGCAAGCAAGCAACCTCAATATTGCGGATCACCTGGTTGCGTATTTTCCTTGCATCGTTGATGTCCTTGAGAAAGAAGGCATTATCAAGGCCCTTGACACCGTGGGGGTTTGTGACAGAACCAACAGCAATTACCAACTTATCATACGGTACATAAAATCGGACCTCTTTCCCACGGCTGTCCAGCTGAGACACTTCAACCAACTTATCAGAAAAATGGACGTCTTCTGCTTTGGCTCGAATGAAGTGGCCATGAACTCGGCTCAAAACTCGGCGAATGGGCTCAACAAGAGATCGAAACTCCAAGGTTCCCACAGTAGCTGAAGGAAGCATCGGCGTAAAGAGAAAATAGTTGGTGGGCGAGATCACTGTAACATGATAGTCGTCAGGGTTTAGGCTTTTTAGGAGAGCAACACCACCCCAGCCCCCACCGAGCACGACGAGCCTAGGCTTATCTTTGATTCGCTTTTTTTCTTCGCAATCGTCGTCATCGATGAACACCTCGGCAATTGGGAGATTGTTTGGCCCGCCTCGTCGGGGCTGCAGAGCCAGTTGCGAAATATTGATGTCGCTCTGCTCCCTTTCGTGTTTGTAAGTGGTCGCATCATAGAGGAAGAAGGCAATCACCCCAATTCCAAGTACTGTTATAGATATTCCAAGCCAGGCACCGGCCCGGTAGCAGAAATTGAGTACCCAAGAATTAACCTGGGGAAGAGGCTTTCCGGACAAAAAGCGGCAGTGAACGGATGCGTTCAAGTTGTGACGAATAGAAGCCAGGACTTTGGGCTGGAACCCAGCATTGATGCGGGTTCGAGCGTGGGATGGAGAGCCGCGAGACAGTGTTGCTATAAAGTGTTTCCGTCGAAATACAACAGAGTGATTCGATTGCTGGTTTCTGGCAGAGCGTACCAATCCGGTAGCGGTTTGTGTGAGAATGCGCGCTCGCATGTTGCTTGTTGGATGCTAGCGGCAAGCGGACAAGTCATGAACCCGCAGACTAATGCAACATAACCAAGGACTAAATAACTTCACAGGCTATGTAAAGGCCAATTGATCTGGAGGGGCTGAAAAAAAGCAGGATGTGTGAGGTAGAAGTCAAGGATATGCAGAAGCTTGGAAGAGGGTCGCGGCCGACGTTCCAAGGTCGAGACATAAAGATGAAGGCACTGGGAGGGATTGGCGTCATACATACATAAATTTGCTAGGAACAAAATGAACTTGAACCTGCACAGCGCACAGTCGCTAAATGTTCAGGAGTCCCACCTGCTAGCCACTCCGCCAATCTTGGTTCACGAAAGACCGACGTCTCCCTCACTGACTGTCCCGACAGTTCCGCGCAAGCAATGATACGGCAAGACATTGGAGATGATTGGATCCCTGTCATTGTCGCGGGGCAAGACAGTGAATTCCCTCGTATTTCAATGCGTCAAGTCTTACACGTGCTGCTGCTTCCCCCTTTACGCCATACTCGAACTCTGTGAACAGGCTTTGCTTTTATTTACTTATCAAGCTTGCTTCTATTGGTTCTCCTCTGCCATTCAGTCTAGAAGGCGCAGGCGAGTCGAAT